AACAACAACAGCAACAACAACACTATCACCACCACTATAACCCCACTATCACGATCACCACCAATATCAACAACCACTATCACCACTACTACTAGTACTGCGACCTCCACTCATGGTACTTGCACAGCCAAGGTTTGACGACATTGTGAGCAATGTGGCCACCAGAATGCAGAGAATGGCATGCCTCGCTCATGTTGTCCCTGCTTTTTCGTCGTTCGCTTGGTCGTCTGCAGCAGCTTCTGGTAAGGTAGGGGCCTTTATAATTAGAATAGNNGGGTTTTGGGGGTTCCTTATTACAAATATGGTATAATATACCCCAAACGCTATTCTAATTATTAAGGCCCTATTCTAATTATTAAGGCCCCTATAGTAACGTGGAATCCTGAAAGTCGCTGAACGCCTGGTGCAGAAGTAGAGTGACAGAGCATCTTCCTGCTCAGCCGATCCACGCCTTGTGGTTTCGCCATATTTGGCTGGCAGAAAACCTGGCACTGCCCTGGCTTATATGGAAAGCTTTAGCAAACTTTAGCACGCTTCCTGATCGTGTGGAGCACTCGTGTGATGTCCTGTTTCGAAGGGACGGCGCATGTGCGCTCAGGCGAATTCATACCGCCTGCAGGAGGAGTGCGACGTGCTGTCACTGGTTTTAGCACAGCCTCTTGGGTCAACTGTTTCGGTGCGAGTTGTGCTATCGTCCAAGAGACTCGAAGGCCTTTCATGTTGGGTTTGTCATCTCTTAGAGCTTTCATGGAGAGGCTAAGACCAGCGCAGTTCATGTGATCTACCTTGTTGATGTAGCTGATCGCCCGCATGATTTTCTGCCACTCGACTTTATCTCATCCTTCGTCATGTTTCCCTAAACCCTAAACCCTGAACGCAATCGAATCACAAGCTCCATGCCACCCTCCTGCGAGGCATCCGGGCTCCATTCGCCTCTCCGAGCTCTTCGGCTAATGGCGGCAGGGCATTATGCGGCACAGTGTGCAGTATATGACATAAAAAGATATGACATGTAATATACCATAGACACAATACTTGCAATATATATATAATATAAGACAAGATAAGATAAGATAAGATAATATAATATAAGAGAACATAATATAATATAAGATAAGATAATATAATATAATATAATTTCATATAATATAATATAATATAATA